TATATATATATATTATGTTAAAGGAAAAGTCTTCTCCATGCCTATAGGCGAAAATAAACAGTGATTTCTCCTATCCTCACCACTGTCCAAAGTTCATCTTACGGTCACGATTGTCTGGTAGTGTTTTATTTTTCACTTTTTTTCTACAAATTAGAATGACCTGAAACTTGGAGCCTGCGTACATATTAGTGAGTGCACCTAATAAAAATATGGAAAAAAATAATTTGTAAAAAATATTGACCAAAATACCCTCAAAATGTTTTGGGGGTATTTTGATCAATTTATTTCATTTAAAATATTTTTTTAATATTTTTCATAGATTCGCCTATTTTTTATGAACACACGCTCCAAATTTTAAGTCATTTTGATTTGTAAAAAAAATAAAAAATAAAATACTATCGGACAATTGTGACCGTAAGTTAAATTTTAGACGGTGATGAGGGTAGGCGAAATCAGTGTTCAAGTGTTTTGTAGTATCTTCCTATGTTAAATTTATAGGATGCAGTTTGTATAGAGTCGAGGCTCTAAACAATCAAAGTAAAACGCACCTTGAAATAGTATCGAGAAATGTAGTTTCAGTACTGGAAATCTTTGTGATAGCCTTAAAATATAGTTTTCTCTAATGATAAATTTTAAAGCTGGAAAAATAGTGTAGAGCAAGCATATCTATAAAAACTTAAAAAATCTTGTAAATTGATGATCCAAAATGCATTATAAGATGCACTATTTCTAAGATTTGAAATCTAATTTTTTCTCTTGTACATGTATCGTGATGATCAATTTGAAGATGTTTAGGCATCAAAACAATTTCTAGTGATATTTTTGAGGTGCGCTCTAATTTGATTGTTAAGAGCCTTGGCTCTATATAAACTTTTCCCTAATTAAAAATATATAGTTATATTTTTTAAAATATTAATTAAATATTATTAAAATATTATATATATAATAATATTATTCAGGTTGGGTCCACATGGACCTTGACCCAGACCCAGACCCGAATAGTGTTTAGGTCCAATATTTGGACCCGAACCTGACCCGAACCGTAAGGTCCAATTCTTGGATCCATACCCAGACCCCAGTGGAGTCTAAATGTCGGATCCTGGTCCTTTGCCACCCCTAATATTGGCATGTGCTTCCCTCCCCAATTGTGATAAACCAGTTCCATTGTTAACTATTTTCTTTATTTAAGGGCAAACAAACTGCAACAAATGTGGCCTTTTTGTTCTTATAATATTGAACATGAAAAGTAATGAGTGTCCAATAATAGATGTGATTTCGTCTCTTGCTGATGCCTCAATTGAAATTGAAGTGAAATTTGACACTAAAAGAATTAAATTTCAATGTCCATATCGAGATTGAACTCAATTAACATTGAGAAGGTTGGACATGTTCTGGAATTATTTTTAGGAAGGAATGTCGAAATACATCTTTAATACTAGCTATTTAACATTTTACCCATATGTTTTGATTTGATTACAAAATATCTATTAAAATACACATGATTGGGAGTTGAAATAGTTGGAAAAGAATAAAAGGTTAAACAGTTGAAAAGCCAAAAATATTTTGATAATTTTCCCTTTTTTTTGGTTTTGGTTTTCATATTACTTATTAAATGCGTTTTTTTGTTTTGTTTTCATATTACTTATTAAGCGGCTAACTCAAAAAGACCATGGACATGGTAAACATAATGACACTGAACTTTTCCCTAATTCTTGAGAACTTCAAGAAAATCTCATGTGATAACATTTATTCTTGATTTATGATTGAATTTCTCTCATTTATGTATGCACAAAACTATCTTATCAAGGGAATTTTATGGTAGTTTTTTTTGAA